GTCAATGTCTTTTTCTCTAAGTCTTCATTCCTAGGATATGCTCAATGTCCCCTAAATGCAGCAGAGATAGAAGAATATATTCTCCTCATACAAAGAACAAATATTTTGGGGAAGAATAAATATCACTAAATTTAAGAAACAGAAACCATCTTCTGTAGAGGATGTTTAATGTGAGAAATCAATGAATTTTCTCTAATTTTATAGAAAAATGACTTTGAAAGAAATGCTGAGAGTAAGGGAAGGACTCTTCCAGCTTTCTGTCTCCTGAGGAATGCACCCCAGATACTGAAAGTGGGGCCTGTGTAAGGATGACCTTGTATCCTTGATCCTGACTTTCAGGGCTTGTCTGGGGACATAGTCTCCCTGTGTAGATTAGAAGGGAAATCTTTGTGTCCCTTTCTCCTTTTTAGTTTATGAAAGCACTGAAAGAAATGCCTCAATTTGTTTCTCAGCTAACACTTTGGTAATTCCTGTGACCAGACTTGGTGTTCCTTGTACCCATCTGCTTGTGTTAATTGCCTCTCCTGAGCAGGAGGATTCTTCTCCCTGGGTTAGATGGTCTCCATTCCTGAATCCTCTATTTTTTCCTCTCCTGCTAATGGTCTCCTAAAGTCTCGTCTCTCTGTTTTTGTTTATGGATTTGTGGCTCATTTGCTATCATCCCCAGTCTAAGGACCTCACAACTCAATGAGCAGATTAGAGGGGGATCCTCTCATGGCCATGTGGCCTGCTTCAGTCATGGGTGTGGGTGCCAGGAAAGAGCTATCCAGGTCAGAGACTGAGTATTTTGTAATTACATCTTCTCTCTTCCCTTCTTGAGCCTTTTCTTCAAGAAACATTCCAGGCGTGGTTACGGAGTAAGCCCTTGAAACATGGGTTGGTGAAGAGTAAAGGCAGACTGGGAGAAGATCAGGATTAGGTCTCAATTATGTTGAAATGCTTTTATTCAAGGAGTTCAAAGAGAGGGCCCCAGTGCCAGTGCACCAAAAACAGTTTAATATGAGTCCTACAATATTTCAGTGGGCTTAATGAAGAACAGGAAGTTCTAGAGTCCTATCCAGATAATATTCCTGACACAACGAGGGAGCCACATTTGTACTTTTTAAGTGGATATGGGACTTCCCAGAATGGACCAATGTAGAATGAGCAGCAGTCCCCACACTTGTAATTTTTCCCTATCTTCTTGCCCAAGTGCTTTCAGGATACCTTCAGTCTAAGTTCCCCCCTGAGCTTCTTGATGATATGCCTATGTATGACCAACCAAGCCACATTTTTTTTCTCTTTCCCAGAACCACTCCATGTAAAGCTACCCTCGAAAGGGAGCCTGGGAAGATGCCTATAAGAGACAACAGATTATATATACCTTGAGGTATATATAATAAGACAACAAAATATACCTTGAGGAAGGAGGACAATAGAGATAGAGCAGCCAGGCAGGTCTGAGAAAAGGTCACATTTCCTTACACCTCTGACTTCATGATACTCCTTTTACACCTTATGAAGACTTCCTTTCACATTCTGTTCCCTGTGGTTCTCCCTTTTCTGTCAACCCCAAGGTGCACTGGGCCCCTGGCCTGTGATAGGACAATCTATGAAGAGGGATTCCTGAAACAATGGTGGAGATTAATCACCTTTTCTGAAGAGAAAATAGGTCTAATGCCACATTAGCACATTTCAAGTGAGCTCTCCAAACTGGGAGTACAGCACCCTGGGTTATATCAGGTGAAGGTAGGGGCAGAGATGATGTTAGGAGGCTAATAGAATGTTCATTTGGGAATAAACTCAAGATTAGTCTCTAAATGCCCCAAAATTAGGATTCAAGTTCAAAGGGCCAATGACAGGAATAATGAAGTACACATATGGATAGAGCTGTCATTGTAAAATACTTTCATATACATGACCTCACATGATCACCACAATAACCTCATGAGGTTTGCAGCACCATGTGCATGAAACTTAGGGAGTAAATCTTTGTCTAGAGTCAGTGCACAACATGTTTACCTCCAAAATAACCAATAATTCTTCAAATCTGGGAGTGCTGTGGTGAAAGCACTGGAATGCTAACCAGTTGGTCAGTGTTTCAAGCCTACCAGCTTTTCCACAAGACAACTATGGGGCATTCTGCTTCCTTAGAGATTTAAAGCCTAGGAAACAAAATGGGGCAATTCTACTGTGTCTCAAAGGATGCCTATGAATCAGAGTCAACTCCATGGCAGTAAGCTTGGTTTTCTTAGTTATGTCTCACTCTAAGCTTGGATGTTTTTAGTTATGTCTCACTCTGTCACCTAGAGGGGAAGATCTATTAGCTAGATCCACCGTTTTTTAATTCCCATGGAGAGACAGAGTGTAGACTAGGAGAAATTTCCCACGTTCTGATTTCCTTTCTTCCTTGCTATGAGTCCCCTCTGAGAGTACTGTTTTGTGAGGAAGACTGACTCTGGGAATTTACTTCACCACCAATTGTGGACCTGGACTTTATTGAAAGTAGAAATTAAGTTTCAACCTGGGAGAACCTAGTGTTGAACAGCAGAACAAAAACAAAAAACAAAAAAAACTAACCTTTTAAATATTTCTTCCTCCTCTGCATTGCTGAGGAACTCTGGTAGTGTAGTGTCTAAGATTTTGACTGCTCACCAGAAGGCTGGCGGTTCAAGCCCACCAGCTACTCCTCAGAAGAAAGATGGGGTAGTCTACTTCCGTACAGATACCGCCTCACAAACCCAAGGAGGGGTCACTATGAGGTGGATCTGACACAACTGCAGAGTTTGGTTTTTCTTTGGTGCATTGTTGGTGAAAACCAACAAGAAGGAAGAGTGTGCTTTTGAGTTAGTGAGAGTATTCAGGATGCGTTTCTTAGTCTCCTTATTCTAATAGACTAGTAGATTTTTCTGAATGAACAATGTGACTTTGTATGTAGACTTAATGAAATCTCTATTGTTTCCATGTTATTCATTTTTAAAGATCAATATACTACTGGATCCTCAAATTCAAATAAAGCAGATCGTCACATTCAAAGCAGATTTTGTGCATTTGGTTCTCTGTGTTTTAGACAGTGGATCTCTACTAAAAAAGGGCCCAGACTCTCATATCTTCAGGTACATCTATGCTCCATTCTATAGCATTCTGCTTCCTGAAGTCAGATAGGGTAGTGTCTGATCCAAGTCTTTGGAAACTCAGCATTGCTTTCCACATCCAACCTGAGAGAACTCAGAACCCTGGACCAAAGACACGGATATGGGAAGCCAGCTGGTAAACAGGTGTTGAGGACCTGTTCTGCATAGGTGGTCTGAACCCTCTTAAGCCTGTTCATGGGTCTGAATCAAAGTTTATAGGTTTTACCCTGGAATCCCCAGCACACCTAAGAATGTTTCTGTAGGTTTTTGATATAAACTTTTGTCCTCACTCTTCTTGCTCTACCCACCTATTGTCATAGACTGATGTTGTACAAATCTCTACTGAGAGTCACCATTCTTGATATGTCTCTGTTCTTACAACTGGTTTAATAAAGTGGGAATAAGAGAAAGAAAAGCAAGGTTAAATCTTTTTTGTGAGCTGCCTTTGAGTTTTTATCTGATTTATGTCTGTGGTTTTCTTAACCATTGATAGATCTAGACACCACTGAATGCAGTAACATGAAAGACAATGGCAACTGCATACAAATAGAGAGAAGAGAGTGAAACCATTGCCCAAGGGCTCACTGAAACACAGGGTCAATGAAGCAAAGTTATCCATCATCTAAAGCACATTGCTGCCTCAGGCTACTCATAACAGAAAATGTGTCCTTCAACTGACTTTCAAGCCAACATCATAGCATTTACACAATAATCACAATAGAATCTTGATTGGCAGGGGGAGGAGGAAAGAAGAAGATGGACTTAAGGCCCTGTGATCCTATCTAGTGGATTCCAACACTCCTCATGGCCACTGGATCCCCTTCGAGGAACATAACAACCTTAGGCCAAAATAGACTTACACAAACCACACCCATAGAGTTGATTATTGCATTTTCAGTAGATATGTTCAATAAAGTCACCATAAATTGTGAATTAAAGGACACAGAACCAATATTCCTAAGGGAAAGACAGAGTTAAACTTCCGTGAACATCTGGTCACAACATTTTCATCAACTGATCAATACACAACTTTATTTTATGTGCATTTCTGTTTAAAAGCCCATAATATATGTTGTTGATTCAGTAACATTAAATTAACAGACAATGCCTCTACAATTTATGTCTGAACAAGGCCAATCAACACATGCATTTTCTAATCAATTGCATAATCTATCAATTAGTCAATTTGTACATATAATGTGAGTGAAACAAATGAAAGAGTAAATGAATTGTATTCTAGTCCTCATTGGGTCAGAAAATAAAGCACTGCTTTGGTTTTTAAAAATAATCAAATTCACGAAGGATTCCTGATAAGAATTTAATAAACAAAATCAATTTAATAAAATGTAAGTGGAAACAAGACCTATAACCAAACTCACTACCATCAAGTCAATTCTGACTCATAGGGGCCCTCGTTGGGTTTTTCAAGGCTGTAAATCTTCAGGGAAGGAGCTCTCCTCATCTTTCCTCTGAGGAGCAGCTAGAGAGTTTGAATCCCAACCTTTTGTCTAGCAGCCAAGTTCCTTATCCACTATCCCACCAGAACTCCTGTGGATAGGGGGAAAGTCTTTGCAAAAAAAATCTTAATACAATGGGAATGTGAAAAGTAAATTAATTTATTAAGTGAAATAATTAAATGCCATAAATATTAGAGTGAAACAATAAACAAATAAATACATAGATAAATAAATAAATAAGAAAGCATGACAGTTTTCTCCTAGGGACTGATATTCCTGCTGTTATTTTTAACATACACTTGCTGGATACTACAGACAAATTAATTCCTGAGTTCAATAAATTCAGTGATTTAAGCAGAAACAAGAGCCTTTTGATAAAACCAGAAACATCCCTGCAGAAGTGGTAAGGCATATCAGATTGAGAGTGAAGTCACGATGAAGCCAGGTCTCCATTCTTTCTTCTAAATCTTGATTCCAAAGTTGTTGATGAAGAGAAGGTTCTCTTGATTTCTCCTCTGACAATTTCCCAGGCACAGTCACTGTATTTCTTCTCTTTCAGGTAGAGACGCATTCCATAGAAGTACCTCTTCACAGCCAGTCGAGGGCCCTCAATTGCCAGGACAGATTCTTCCTCTCCCATTGCCTGCACCAA